ACATTTAAAACATCCAAATGAAAATTGATAAAATGGCAGGAACAAGCAAAGCCTTTCAATAGTAATTCTAAATGTTCTGAGTTTCTGTTGGCAGGAGGTGGCAGAAAGTCATGAACCATGAAATACTAGACTGCCCTTGAAATATATCAACTGAAACTGAACTACAGTCCCCAGAGATGAACTTTGATGAATCTCCACCCAAGGAGGAGCCAGGATCTCCACATCTACCTGTCCCTGTTTTGTGTCATGGGCCAAAAATGAGAAAAGTCTCAATTTGCCACCTATGGATTGAAACCTGTACTAGCTGAGGGCTCAAGGTTTACCCCTGTGACATTTTCCTGAGATCTCTCTGTTGCCCAAAGGCCACTTTCCTTCCCTGGTCCAAATGCAAATTTGGCTTCAGAACTGACCAATGAAAACGAAAACAAATTAAACAAGCTTGTATCCTTCACTTACATGAGAGGACCTAAATGAAAACTTGGGGGGGAAATTACACAGCGCCTTTGACTTCATAAGATGACCCCTTTCCCTTGCTCAGGGAGACACTGCTTTGGGAGCTATTCCCAGTGTTGTTCTTATTTTCAAGTAATAAAGCTTTTTCCTCCTACCCTGTTCTTGGCTGTCCATCCCTCAGAGATGAACCCCCATTGTGCAGTAACAATACCATCTGGCAATGTTAGAGAAGTGCTCTGAAGTCTATTACAAATAACAAAGATTTTATAGACAGAAAAGCAGAAGAAAGCAGAAACAAAGAAAAGTGGATTGGTCATTTCAAAGTTACTTTCCTTGTAAGGTGGGGACAGAGAGAGAGAATAATAAGAAAATAACTGATTAGTTAACATCAGTTTACTTCAGGCTGATTAAAGCAGAGTAAACTTTATCATCATACCTATTGAAGATTTAAACTGGCCTGTTTGGGAAATTGGCTGTTATCTCTTTCTCCTGATTTCTCTATTTATTTAACAAAATTGTGTACTAAAAAATCTCCAGCAAGCATCATGGGGAAATTTTATACTGGTCCCCACTAAGATTAGAAAAAAACAAGAATACTCACTTGCTCCACTATTGTTTAACATAGTTTTGGAGGTCCTAGGTAATGCTATAAGATAATTTTTAAAGTCTAAGATGTGCAAAGTTTGGAAGTGAAGAGATAAAATGCTTCATATTTGCACATGAAAAGTCTACATAGAAATCCAAACAAAATCAATAAATTATTACAACAAATAAAAAAGTAAACTTTTGCTGGATAAAAAGTAAACTTAAAAAAATCAACAGCATTCCTCTAAACTAGCAATAACCAACTAGAAAGCAAAATCAATAAATTATTACAACAAATAAAAAAGTAAACTTTTGCTGTATAAAAAGTAAACTTAAAAAAATCAACAGCATTCCTCTAAACTAGCAATAACCAACTAGAAAATATAGGAGAAAATGGTACCACACATATACATACATACATTTATACACATATGTACACATATACACACAAAATGGTATAAGAATTTATATTTATATACAATTATATTTTTATTTCAAATTTAATTTTTAATTTTAATTTTATATGTATAATTATATTGTATATAAATATGAGAAAATGATAGTCATATACATAGTCATACACATATAAAAGGGTACCACTTACAATCAGATTGACAATCACAAATATACAAATACAAATACAACAAATACAAATGCAAATCAATTTACAATCACAAATATATACATACACATATATATAAGTATGGATATGTATGTAGATGTATATATTTGTGATTGTAAATTGATTTGGGTGTGTGTGTATATGTATATGTGGTATAATAAAAGATATATTTGGTCTTTGTCATTGGTTGCTGGCACAGAACTCCTTGGAGATCTTGGAATTCCCCTGGAATTTTATAAGTGATAGGAATGTCCTGTTATTCTTAAGAAGCCTCTTTTGATCATACCTGAGTTTATGCTAATGAAGTGACTTAGGGCGGGGCCCCTAGTTAGCCTCAGAATAGAAATAGTCAACAGAAAGACCAAGTGATGAGAGGGTTGAAATTTGCAGCTCCACTCTCAGACCTCCAGGAAGGTGGGATGGGGGTGTGCATGCTGGAGACTAAACTCTATGAAAACTCTTGAACAAGGAGATTTGATGCACTTCTGGGTTGGTGAATGTATCCACACGTCAGGAGGGTGGCACACCCCAATTCTACCAGGACAGAAGCTCCAGCACTCGGGACCCTTCTGAAGTTAGTTCTGCCTTGCATCTGTATCCTTTATAATAACATTCATAATAAACTAGTAAATGTAAGTAAAGTGTTTCCCTGAGTTCTATGAGACATTCCAGAAAATTATCAAACAGGAGGAGGTGTATGGGGAACCCTCAATTTTTACCCAGTCAATCAGAAGCCCAGGATGCACAGACTTGCAATCAGCATCTAATGTGCAGGCAGCCTATTGAGACTGAGCCCTTAACTTGTGGGATCTGATGCTAACTCCGAGTAATAATGCCAAAAGTGAACTGAATTGTAGGACACCCAGCTGGTATTGGAGAATTGGTTGGTGTGGGGAAAATTCCACACATCTGGTGACAGGTTTCTGTGTGAGTAGAGAAAGAGTGTGTTTTTCTGAGTGTGTGTAAATATGTATATAGAGAGACAGATGAATACATATATATACACACACACACAGACACACACACACACACAGAGGTACTTCAATAAGTTCATGGAAAGATCTGTATTATCTTTTGACTCTTTTTCCACAAACTTTTTGAAATACCCTTCTATATACATATGTATATGTGTGTGTATTTATATATCTTATATATAGTTTATAATTTATAATTATATATGAGAGCACCGAGTTCTTAGATACCATGGGCTGCAGGTATCTTTCTTAGAAAAAGTTACCTTAATAGATGACCAGAAAGAAATCTAAAAGAAGAAAATAATTCTCGTACCTCAGGAGAACNTATATATATATATATATATATATATATATATTATCTAGGAAGCAACCTAGTGACATATCACCTCTATGGAGAAATTTTTGAAACTCTATTCAAGAATATAAAAGCAAATTTAAATGAATGAAAAGATATTCCATGTTCATCAATACATGATATCAGATCACCTCCAATTAATTTATGGAATCCACACAAAGCCAATCAAAATTCATATGTAACTATAAAATGCAGGAATAGCTAAATTAATCTGGGAAAAGAGGAATAAAGGAAGAGTAAAGAGGGGTGGGTGGGTAAGAAAGAGTTACCATAGGAAATATTAACATTTGCAGTGCCAAAGAAATAAAATCAATGTGACATTGGTGGTAGACACACCAATAAATCTGTGGAACAGAATAAGTGTGAAAAATAGACCTGTGTTATGCAAAATCTTGAGATAAAGGTGGTACCACAAGTCAACAGATAGAGGACCTATTGTTAAGGCTATAATATTGGGAAAACTACTTCATTATATGAAGAAAAATATCACCGGATATCTCTCTCTCGTACCATATATAAAAATAGACAAGATGGCTTAAAGTAGTATATGTGAAAGATAAAGCTGTAAATCTACTAGGATAAAATTTAAGGGCATGTTTTTATAAGTTAGAAATGTGAAAACACTTTTAAATGTGACTCCCCCAGCAAAAGAACACACAAAGCCTAAGGTAAAAAAAAGTTGTTATATTTCAGTCCAACAAAATTTAGGATTTTATTTCATAAACAAAACGATGGAAAAGTTAAAATTGTATCACGTAAACAATATTACATTAATATCTATAATTTACACAGGAATCCTCAAAGTCATCAAGAAAATGGGCAAAGAAAATTAAAAAGCATCTTGAAGCAGAAGCCTAAATAGACACAAAGAAGTTTGAAGAGATGCTTAAACGTACTATATCAAGAAATCTACATGTTAGAACATCAATGAGCCACCATTTTACACCCACTGGAATTGTCATCATCAGGAAGTTAGGTAATCCCAAGTGCTGGTGAGGCTGTAAGTAGGTGGGAACTCTTATGTGGTAATGATGTGAGAATAACTCATTAAGTACAGGGAGTACTTGGTGAATTTATCTATGCATGCACTTTATGAACCAGAACATTACTTAAAGCACACCACCGTCTGTGTGAATATGAAAACACATTCACATGCACAAAATCTTAATATTTTTCAAAAGAAAATGCACATTTAAGAACATACACCTATCATATTAAAGCAGGTAACTATAGTGAGGTGAAGTAGGGAATGGAATGAAAAACACAAATAAAAATAAAGTAAAATAGGGCCGGCCCGTGGCTCCCTTGAGAGATTGTGGTGCTGATAACACCAAGTCGAGGATTAAGATCCCCTTATCGGTCATCTTTTAAAAAATAAAAAATAAAGCAAAATAAAACAAGAGAGAAACCTTGCCCTGGGCTATGATGATAATGTTTTATACACTAAGTATTGTGATTAACTTAACTTTGCTTCTGAGTTCCAATAAAGAAAGGAGAAAAAAACAAAACAAAACACAAAGTGTGTTCAGGATTGTTTACTAGGCATGAAGAGCACTGTAATTGAAAAATACACGTTGTTCAGAAAGATCAAGTGACCTCAGTGAAATGGGAACTGCAGACAGCTTTATACTCCACTGACCTATAGGCTGAACCATGGAAATGGCTACGAGGCAGCCACTCTTTGCCTATCAAGATGACCATTTCATATGGCTTGCCCTAAAACAGAAATGTCTCCTCCTGTGTTACACAATAAGAGGCCCACTCATTTAGTTCTACAAAATAAGGAAGGAAAATAGGGAGAGATAGGAAAGGAAATGCCAACTGATGACCATTTACATTGCTAACTTTAAAATTTTACAAAATTTAACAATGCTTAATGCAAAACCCTTAATCAATGGTATATGAGAGCACCGAGTTCTTAGATACCATGGGCTGCAGGTATCTTTCTTAGAAAAAGTTAGCTTAATAGATGACCAGAAAGAAATCTAAAAGAAGAAAATAATTCTCGTACCTCAGGAGAACCATAAATCCAGGTATGGCAGCTAAAGAATAAATGAAACTGTTAACTGACATCAAGATTAGAAAGTACTGGAGCATCATGGAACAGTCATGTCCTTTGCCACACAGCCCAAGAACTGCAGATGAATGTCCCGCTGCTTGAATGCAGCTACAGTTATGGAACACCTGCCAGAAAAGAATATATTATCCTATTTAAGGAAGAAAAATCTTGAACACAAATCTCAAATATTTTCTGCATAGCCAGTTGGATCAAGATAGGGGCTGCTTATTCCATTTATTCTCAGCTCCTTTATGGTGTCTCAAAGGGTTAGAGCATAAAGCAAAACATAGATGATTAGTTTCAAAAAAATGGTATTTTTTCCCAAATATATCTAGTAAATTTGCAATAGCTCATCTACCCTAAAGGCACACCATTTTTTTTTTTAGCACATACTGTTTTGCCACAACAGTAAGCATGACAAACAAAATCTGTTTCCGAGTGCTCAGTTAAAATATTTAGATGATTACAAATAAACGAAGCTCTGCTTCAAAAAATATAGCTTATTTTAAAAACAGAGATGTCAACCTTTTTCCAATTGTTATATGTTTCCAGGTCTTAAAAAGAATCCAAATTTATATTTTACTTTGATTACCAACCAACATTCTAAGTATTGTGACATCATTAAACAAGAAAACGTGCCTAATTCCATCTTCTTAAAAAAACGTCAGAATGTGAAAAACACAGAAAGCACGTGCATAAGTATACAGAGGAAAAAAAAAAAGAAAAAACACAGCAAAACAATTAGCAGGGTAACTGAGATCCATACTGCCAACTTTATCTCAATAATAAATATTATTTAGCCCAGAGTATTTTTAACACAAATTGTTTGGGTAATAATCTAAACTGCTTTAAAAGTACAGATCAGTGCTCAGACACTGTGAAGGTCTTAGATAAGATGTAGGGGAAAAAAGGTAATTAAGTGAGCATATAAAAAGGAACTTTTATTTTTTCCACACACAAAAAAAAACCCTTTAATTTGGTTTTGAAGACTAATTTTACTTTAATCAAATGTAGGTCCAGTTCACAGCTGGAAAGTGGCAACGTAGTATACAAAATCAAAGGCCAGTAGGATGTGTTACCATATTTATTCCTGTTCCAACGGATGTCTTACAACCTGCAAGACAAGCTGACATATACGACAAACCGTTGTCTCCACACACAGGGTCCCATGTTTTAGTTGGACAGCTGCAAGCTGTATTGCAGTCAGCAAGGATGTTATTTCCCGTGTATACACCTTGTTGAATTCTGAAATGATTTAAAATAATGCCATGGATATTAAAGCATTTTTTTTTCTTCTATTCTTCTGAATTCCCAATTACATTTCCTCCTCTTTCCCAAAAAGAAACAGAAATCTTCCAACCATTAATGTGTGACCTGAGTACTATAGCCTGACATAAAGGATACCTGCTTTGGTATCCTTTTAGCCACTTTTAAAAATGAATTATTTCAGAAAAACATTTAGCCAATAAACAAGCATTAACTGAATTCCTACTATGTGGGAGGCATTTTTCCAGATACTATTAGAACTCACCAATGAAGATGACCTAATCTCTGTGGTTGATCCACATGATAGAAAGTAACAAGAGAGGGATAGCTTAAAGATCAAAATCTGCAAGTTCCACTTAAAATGTAAATAATACACTTTGCTCCAGAAACATAGCTACTTGAGCAAACAAATTCATTCATTCCCCTAGTATAAAAAGTACCCAGCATTTGTAATGTGATTTAAAGAGCAGGGGAGTCTAAAGACTGGATTCAAGTCCTAACTCCATGACTAGATCACAGTGTGGCTTTTTCCACATTCTTTCTGGGAATCAGCATGATTGGAGATGGAGACAGTCTTTAAGATTTTCCCCAATTTTAAAATCCATATTTCTACATTGATGTGGTTGAAGAGTTTGGCCATGAACTCCCTTTGTCATTAAATCTTTCTAAATCTCACATTCTTCATATGTAAAATGGAAATAATAATGCTTATCTTAATTGAAGTTTGCAAGACTCAAATCAGATAATGTATATAAAATTACTTTGTGATTTTATATTTGAAATTATTCCAATATTATAATCCTTGATGATTTTAAAAGGACCATTTTAGTATGTCTTTCATTTCTTTTAACTGATGACTTATTTATCTAAATATGCCATATAAGTGAATTTTTAAAATTCATATCATGATGGAAAACCTTTCTATAAACCCAGATAACCCTCAAAATACAAAATCTGAAACTAGTTAATACTTCAGACATTATACAAATGAAATATATTAACTTATATATTAATTAATTTATCATGTTTTAGGATTCACTTGTGCTAAATTTAAGCCCATTGTAGAACCATAGAAAGGCTGTTTAGACTATATAGTCAGCTTTAATTTTACCCCTGTATAGGAGTATAAAATATATGGATACCATATTCTACTACAACCTAAAGCTATAGATAGTTTCTTTGATATATGCTTAAATGTTCACTAGGATATCACAAAGACAACCACACACACACACACACACACACACACACATATATCCATAGAGTCATAAACTCATTCACCACGTGATATGTTCCCAACCTCTTTAATAAGCCTAGAGCTTGGATGGATTGGGTTATGATTCACAGATGGAGCAAAGATACAGGAAGAGCATGGATCACTGTCATTAACTCCAGTAAGCAAATGATCACACATAACCACTGGAGAGAATACACCATTAACTGTTAAAAGCGTATGACAGTCATTAGAAAACAACATACCCTTCATAAGAGATAGTTATGCCAGCAACTGAAGAATTGTCACAGATCATGAGAAAACACAAAAAATGGAGAAGATAATGACTTAAGGATAACCAAAATCCTATGTGGGCAGCTTGTTTGACAGTAATCTTGAACTTTTTCATAATTAAACCACCAACAATATATCCAACGCATATTGGAGGTATGTTATAAATACCTATAAATGCAAACAAAATATTATTTACAATGTGATATAGCAAAGGAACAAATATGTTATCATTTTTATTTAATAACATCTTACATAAGAAACTATTTAGTTTCAACTTACAGTGAAGCAGGCTGATTTAATTTTATCCCCACCTAGTTACACATTACATACAGGGAAATTTTGAAATGCCCCCAAATATCAAAGTATATTTTGGAAGATGGTTATTATTATCATTCATTTAATTAATTGCAGTAGGTTGTAAATTTCTTGCAGGCAGCGATCATGATCACTATTTCTTAGGATCTATGTATGAGTAAAAAGTCAAAGATGACCAGTAATTTATTAATTGATTACAGTCCATTCCATGGAATATATATTATGATTTTTCAGTTATTTATTCCCACTCCGGTTAATAAGAATTTGACTCAACTCACGGTACTTTAGAGGGTCACTTTGCTGAGCCTGTAGCTGTCAAGAGAATTTACATTTCATGTCTTGCTGCTAGTGACCTGCACTCTTCCGCCCCCAACTCTCCCCCCAAAAAAAGGAAAAAAGAAAAGACAGCCCTAAGTTGCATTCATACAATGCCAGCATCTGGCTCACTGAACCATATTCTTGGAAGATCTTGTTAAAAAATTCATTCAAGAGCACCACACCATAAAGTCTGATTTAGTGTATCTTGGGGAGGTGGGGGCAGGTGTCTAAATCCTTCACAAGCCCTCTAGGTAATGTGGATGCAGGTAGCCTAGGATATTCACTTTTCAAAACATTAAAAAGAGAAAAACCAAGGGTGGGTAGAACCACTGGGGTTAGTTAGCGTGGTCATAGGAAAAGCAAAACATTATCTGGCTGCAGAAACACCTAGAACCACCAGGTGGACCAGGGAACTAAATTAGGAGGGATATAGAATCAATGAATTGTAATCAAAAGGGTAAAATCTGGGAGTAAAACACAGAATGCTAATGAACTAACTCTGTATTCCTTTCTAAATTAACGGCTTGCCTATCTGAAAATTGTACCTAATTTTTGCATTCCCCAGGATTTCCATGAATATTATGAATTTGCATTTTGGCTGGAGAGAAAGAAGAGAGAATAATGTCGGAATATTTCTGGCCTCTTCCCTTTCGTACCCTTTCTTGATTTCCCTAGAGAGGGAAATGTACCAGATATGGAAATATCCTAAAAGACTTCAATTTAGGAGTTTCCTAGATCCATCATCAGTCTGTTCATCATTTCATGGAAAAAAAAAGTATGTTACTAATGCAGAGAAAAACACACATACCAACTAGAAAGACTGCATCCGAAGCTGATTTTCCATATTGCTGTTCCAGATATTTAGGCAGGAAGGAGAACGAACTAGCAAATGCGTTGACCTGTACCACACTTAGAATTATGAAAAGCATGTATATTGAATTGCATGAAAGACTTTTCATGAATGGTAAAAAATCTGAAATGAAGGAATGACAAGTGTCAAACTAACTTGTCAAAATAATTTTTTAACTGGCTTTTTCTGAAATATCAACCTCCTCCCCAAATTATGTTTCTCTGTCTTGTAATGCACATATGTTCATTAATTCTTTTTACTTCTTCCAAGCTAAAGTTATATCATTGTTTCGATAGCTTCTGGAAGTCAGTGATGCAGCTGACTGGGTAGGCATCAGAATACAAGTTTTGCCTTCACTAAGTCACTATTGTGTCTTACAGCAAAACTATACAGTGACCAAAATATTGTCTGTGTCCACACCATTTCCTTTTCATCTTTTTCTTTCTTCTTCTATTAATATCCTCTCTTTTCTAGAGATCATCTAGAGTAAAAGATGCTTGCTTTGTTCTCTAAAGTCTGGAAGAAAATCAAGAAATATTGTCTGTGTCCACACCATTTCCTTTTCGTCTTTTTCTTTCTTTTTCTATTAATATCCTCTCTTCTCTAGAGATCATCTAGAGTAAAAGATGCTTGCTTTGTTCTCTAAAGTCTGGAAGAAAATCAATTTGATAAAGACGTTCACACTCAGATATTGATATTATCACTTCTTAAACATTTAAAATGAAGATGTATGTGGGAATTAATGAGATATAAATTTGTTCAAGTACCAGAAATTTTTCTGCTTTGTCAGAACATCAGTTTTGGTGGTCCTGCCAACAGTTCACAACAGAATGAACTTTACAAATACCTGGAGATATGTTTAAAGATACCAGCACCCAGGTTCCACTCCCAGAGATGCTGATTGATTTGGTGCATATGAAGGACTATGTAAATGATTAAACCAAAACTTTCTGTGTTTGAAAAAGCTCAGAGCCAAATTTGCATCCTGTCTCTAGCACATGTGCTGGGTCACACCACTGCCATTTTGGCTCAAATTCTATTAGGACTATGTTTTCTGTAAAATAGATTTTTTAAAGCAGATAGGGCCAAATAAATAAATTTATATAGATATATTTATTTATTGAGTGTTCAGACTGATATGAAGTTTTATATAAATGCTGATCTTTAATAATTCCGCTTCCAAATTATATGATTTATTTCCTAGTAGTAGCCTGGGAAGACTCAGACTACTTAGACATCATTGAATGGTGACTGTTCATGACAAATTGTCTTACAGCATAGCACATTATAATGTTAGATTAAAATACAGACACATCTATACAAAATAAAAAGTAAATTATATGGTATTTAAGGTTTTTATATTTGCCTTTAGTGAGTCCATCTTTTTCCTTCTTGGCTTCTTCTCTTTGTTTCTCTTCCTTATCATTTTTAGTGATGTCAGCATCATCCTCTAGTCCTTCCTTTGGAAGTGTTTTGGGCAAAAAGAAAAAAGGAACGGCAGTGAGCACATTCACTCCTGCACAAATCAAAAAGCCAAACCACCATGCACCAACCCAACGAGTATCAGAGGGAGTTATGGTCAGTTCATCTGTAAAAGAACACATACATTTTTATTAAAGACATTATTCCTGCATGAACTATAGAAAATCATTAAAATTACAATTCTTATATTTTATCCAAGTTAAAAAAAAATTGTATATAATTCAAACATTTGTAAAACCTATCTGATAATACATGGTGTTACAATATAGTTTAACAATAAGTTAATCTGACTATTTGTCCTACATGTAAGGAATTTATGAATAGGTACTTACTAAATAACTAAATGGTCTATTTCATTACCGACAACTGATTGCTTGATTAAAAGAAATTCAAAGCTATATGCTTAAATCTTTTGAAACTAAGAAATATGGTTGAGGTACAGTAGAAAAAGCACTGGATTTTGAGTCAGAAGATGAGCGGTTTATCTTGCTCTACTGTTCACGAGTTTGAAGTACAATATTTGTGAGGTTAGCTCACCTGTAAAGTGGAGACAATCTATCTAACAGAGGGTCAAGTAAGGCAAAGATTATATGTGATAACATACCTGAGTTGCTTTGCATAGTCTAGACACTATAAGTAGATTTTATTGACTTACCTGTGTTCACAAATCCAGTGTCCACATAAATGTTTGCACAGAATGACCCTAACAAAAGTCCAACCAAAAGACCAATGATAGCTCCTGTTTTTATAACCCCTAAAAATAAATAAAAATATAAAGTTATAGTATACTTTTATGCCCACATAAAGAGTTCTGGTCCCATGAAAAGCCTGAAGGTTGAATTGTATTTGCCTCAGGTATTTTTAACTTAGGCATTCAATTTATAAGCAAATTAAGCTTGGTGTACATATAAGTAATGTTTATTTCTATGAATGTTGAAAAAGAAGCCTCATAATTTAAAGCCACTTTCTCTAGGCCTCCAAATTCTCTTTTATGCAGGGTCACAGGTAAAGATTTGGTACAGCAGCGTAGGCAATCCCAGCTGGGATCATGCCATTGACAAAGCCATGATATAGAGCAAGGTTCTTTTGCTGCTTTTCCATAGTCACACTTTTGGAGGAATTCTAAAGCAATGCTATGTTATGATGAATTTCTTGTGGCACATTCCTCAGAAAAGCACCACTCTAAAATCTTCAGTGTGAAACTTTCTTCCAGCTGTGTCCTCGATATTACGATCCTTCCCTTCAGTTTTATCTTGCTCTCCTTTCTTATCCTCCACATTCTTTTCTGTTTGCTTCAGTGTGAAACTTTCTTCCAGCTGTGTCCTCGATATTATGATCCTTCCCTTCAGTTTTATCTTGCTCTCCTTTCTTATCCTCCACATTCTTTTCTGTTTGCATCAGTTCCCTCTGTCCTCACTTGACTTCTCTCACCAGCTATCACGTGACTTGTCTACAGGTGGCAATCTATGCTGAGCCCTCCCTGGTCACCAAATACCCAGACATGAGCTTCTTCAACTTTCTTCCTTTTCACTTCAAGATTTGTCTTTGCCTTTTGTCTCTGCTTTCTCCACAGTTCCATAGCTAGTCCATCCTATACACACCCGATTTCTTGCTAACAGCTCCTTCTGTCTTCTTGAGGTCTTGCTCTACTGAACTCTCCTGCTCTTATGCTTGTTTGATCTCTCTGTATTCGATTTCCATCATATCTCAAATCCACCCTCCCATGGCAATCTTATCTCTCCCTTTTGATTTTATTTATTTTCTCTGCATAGATAATTCTCAAATTTTGTGTCTAATCTTTACATTCTCTTCTAAATTCTACAGTCATACATGGAACTGTTTTCTTGATGTATATCTATTCAATTTATAGTTGTCTGATTATACATACACACGGGTGCACACACACACACACACACACACTATATACAGTCATGTGCCGTATAACAACATTCAGTTAGCAACAGACCACATACACAACTGTGGTTGCATAAGATTGTAAAGGAGCTGAAGGTGTGTAGTAGGCCATACCATCTAAGTTTGTGTGGGTACACTCTATAATATTTTCACAACAACAAAATTGCCTAACAACGCATTTCTCAGAATGTATCCCCATTGTTAAGTGACACATGACTGTATATACACACAATAAATATATATAATTAATAAGGATATACAATTATGTAGTTATTTTTTTTACTAACCTTACATGGACCACATCTTATTAGTCATTATGAATACGGAGATTATCACAGTTACTTTTTTATATTACACATCCTAATATTTGTTGAATAAAGAAATACATATTACAGCAAGGTGTTTGTTGATTGCAGGAGAGTGCTCACATTCTTTCAGTATAAGTATGTGTAGGGATTTGAAAAGACTGACTAGAAAACTCTGAAAAAGCTTATTGAAAAATTAGCGAGTCACCAAAAAGTACCAAAAGTTATTTGGAGTGATGATTCCTAAATATTTTAATCCATCTTGATTATGTATAGGTCTGTTTCTATCTTCTCTCAACCTCTTTAATTTTTCTGTTTTTTTAAAGGTATGTCTACATTAATAGCAAAATGTCTCTATACTCAAGTTATAATTTTATGACCAATTACAGATGGAATAACTAGAGAATACTCAGATAAGCAAGTTAGGCATAATAAACTTAGAATATTTTGGAGATTGGAAAACAACATAAGAAGGTGGGTCTTGAGTCGGCTATTATGCCAGGTGACATGCATGAATTTTTTTTAAAAAAGTAATTTTAAGAAATGTAATCAAAAGCATGAAAACAGAGATTTGTAAGAAATATGAAGAAGCCTGACAAGTATGGAGAGATTGTGAAAAAGAGAAACTATATAGGAAACTAAATAGATAAATAGATAAATGGAGTGCAGAGCCATGAGTAATAAATGGAGAGAAGAGATTTAATAAATCAGCCAGTGTATGTCATAAATATGATTCAAACAATGTTTGAGAAAAATTACACTGCAAGCATGTTTATAAGAAATCGATAATATACTAGAGATAAAATGAACAATAAAGAAGTTAAACTCCTACTTTATTTCTGATTTTAGTAATTTGGGTCATCTCTCATTTTTCTTGGTTGTCTGGATAAAGGTTTGCAAATTGTATTGATCTTTGCAAGAACAATTTTAGGGTTTTTTTTAATGTTTTTAAATTCTCTGTTTCATATATTTCTATTGTAATCTTTGTTATTTCCCACTTATATTTGCTTTTGGTTTACTTTGCTCTACTTTTTCTGTTTTCTTATGGCAGAAGTTTACATTACTAATTTGACATTTTCCTTATTTTTAATGTAAGTGTTTACACATATAAATTTTCCTCTTAGCACTGCATGAGCCCCACATCCTATAAATTTTGATATGTTGCGCTTTGATCTTTATCTCAAAGTAATCTCTAATTTCCCTGTGATTTTTCTTTTTACCTATTGTTTATTTATGAGAGTGTTGTTTAATTTCCACACATTTGTGAGTTTTCTAAATTTCCTTCTGTTATTGTGGTCAGAGAACATATTTCCTATGATCTTAGTCTTTAAAAAAAAAGAAAGAAAAAAAGGAAAAACTTAAAACAACAAATAAAAGAAGTTCATGGAAAGATTTCCTTATCTTTCAATTCTATTTTTCCATGAACTTTTTTGAAGTTGCCTTGTGTTTATATTTTGTTTGATTGTTTTTTATGCAATTTATCTTGCTAAACTTAGATATTTAATTTGTGCTCTTGATTTCTTTTTAAGTAGACTTTTGATTTGCTTAGAAATTAATTTGCCTTTGAAAAGCTTATTCATCTTCCTCTATTGAAATTAATCTGATACTTTCATGCTTTTAGAAGACTTTAGAGAGCTACTTCAAATAATTGTAAAGATTATAAAATGAATATGTAAATTTTAATAAGTTTTACATCTCCAGTTTTTGTGAAAATGTGAATCTGTTATTCAGTTTACGTATTTGTTACTTAAACAAATAAATGTGCACATCCTTAAAAAATATATAAGTAAATAAATAAGAAGTAATAATAATGTACAAATAAAGTAACGAGGACCTGAACAAAAATAGAGGTCGTGAAAATAATGAGAAAGGTTTTGAACGTAAGGGATATTTTAGGAAAACCACTGGTGAATCATAACAGATTGAATATAGTGTAGTGTCCAGAAAATGAAGCACCAAAGAGAACTTCGGGGGCACTAGATTAGTGGTATTTCCAAAAGCAAAAAGCAGATTTAGCAAAGTGGCTTATACGGAATTAGTATATAATTGCTCCATTCAACCAACTTTTATCAATGGCCACCTGTGTCAAGGCGTTCTGCTTATCATTTCTAGAAACCACTAAGCGTCCAAGTAAATAACTAATTTCTACCCTCATGGAAATTAGGCGGATTTTCAAACTTACCAATTTATAAAGGAGAACTTGTGATCGAAAATAAATAAATAAATAGGAAAAATAAACTTATAAGGAACTTAGGCAGCTACAGAAGATTTTCTAACTTACCAATATATAAGGGAGAGTTTTCAGATTTGGCAAAATCTTCTATGTAGGAAATACCCAAAGGCATGATGGGAGTTTCACCCATCCCACGTATAGTATTTCCTATTAGTACACACACCCACATTAAGGACTTAACCTCCTTCACACACTCTGCATTAAAACAAAAAAGACATCGCATTAGTGCTTTGATCATAAAGTGTGAGTGATACTTAATTCTAAGTTTTCTGTAAACATTTCAGTTCTTATGTGACTATGACACTTTGTCAAAGATTTATATTACTGTGCTAGCAATGAATCATTGGGCTATCCCTATTTCAGTTTCTGACAGAGTATGTAGGCATTGACAAGTGTAAGTGGGGTGCTGGAGACAGTTCCTACTGGGTTGGCGGAGATGAGTATACATACCTCTTCCCAATTTAGTGGTTAATGACAACACATGGCTAGTTGGATTGGAGGATTACACGACAGAAATTAGCAAACACTAAAATTTGGGGCTTTTTTCCCCCCAGAGATTCAGTTTAGCAGAAACTACTAGAGATTCAGTTTACCAGAAACTACTGGATCCAGTTCGTGGTAGGAGTGCTACCCCATTCCTACACAACTTTGGGAATAGGGGAGGGAAAAAAGCACACAAGTATCTTTCCTTAGAAGTGATATGATATTTGCAAGGTTTAAACAAGAGTCTCACTGAAGTTTGATTTCTCTGCAGCTCTAATTATTTTATAGAAACTAAAAATACCTAACTGAATAGTAACCACATTTTCTCCACAGAGCCTATTGTATTACGTAACAGCCAAATAACTTCTAATAGAGAAATCTACCCCAATCCTTGCAGCAGCAGCTGCTTAGCAGAATAACAAAGACTGAGGGCTGGCTGGTTAGCTTGGTTGGTTAGTGTGGTGCTGATAACAACAAGGTCAGGGTTCAGTCCCTGCACAGACCAGCTGCCAAAAAAAGAAAAGAAAAGAAAAAAAAAGACTCAGCCAAAGGGAATTGAAAGAGGATAAGATAGGGAAATCTCTGAAGATTTATATTTACCTCTTTGACATTTGTTCTGAGCCGAAATAGCTGTTAAGCCCTGACAAAGCCCTGTGAGGTCATGTTTTCAGGGAAGTGAAGAAAAATGTACTCTCACCTCCTATCAACTGGCCAGGTGTCACCCACAGATGTGAGAGTCCTGAGCACAGCTGGGTCCAGGAATTTCTTGTGAAGTCATTCCAAGTTCAGAAAACCATAGTCTCCATTTCTGGATTTTCAGATTTTTTTTTCTGTGGTGAATACAATGATTTGTGCCTAGAGATCATAGGCAAACTCTAGGCCTATTCTAGGGCAAAACTGAAAATATCAGGTGCTGAAAGAATCAACACACTTTTCTGGAGATATACCAGAGTGGGACAGTTTTGATATATCTGCTACAGTGTGGATTAGGGTCTGGGTCCATCTTTATCAAAATCCAGCTCAAGAAGAGAGCACAGGCCACTGCTGATGTCACTGTTCTCCTTTGTTTTCCCAGGGGATTTCTTTGGCTCGGAGCTTTTGAGGCAGCTGTTCTTCAGCTCTGAAACTATTTTGGTTCCCTCTGATTCCATGGTGGCAATGAAATTCTCAGCCTTGGGAACTACTGCAACTTCTACTGACATGAATTCACCATTAAAATGCCTCCATCACAAAAAGAATAGTTCTGGCCTGAGGCAAGTCAGCAGAATCACCTCCAGACTAAATATCATCAGATTATATACGTCCTTTAATATATGAAGGAATGGAGGCCAGCAGGTGGGTGCCTGTGTCTACAGAAAGCTAGAAGAAGCACCACTGTTTACAGATACTGTAAAGTAGTGTCTCTGGTAAAGAGGGAAAAGGGGCAGAAAGACAAGTTCCTAGTTCCATAGAAAGGGAATAGAGAAATTCCTAAGTATAGCATACATGCCTGCCTTCCCTGCTATGGAAGATCAGGGATATAAGTCATCTGAACTTTGTTTCTATCTCCATTTCCTCTATACATGATCATATGGACCAAATCACCAGCATAAATCCATCCTTCTAAGATGTTTCCATCAGTGGGATTAACTCTATAGTGATCCTTGGATGAATGTCTTTGACTTATTTTTAAATAACCATTTTAAGAAATAGAAAGACGGTTTTAATAAATACACTCAAATAAAAGAGGAATAACGTTGTATATTATTAGTCATTCTTATTTCCTACCGTGATTCCCTCTGATATCCCTGAAGAGAGAAATACCTTTTGTTCATTTACCTTACTTACTTAAGCAAACCCAATATCTCATTCAAAGCCCTTCATTGAAAGTGTTCAATTATGGGTCGGCCTGTGGCTCACGTGGGAGAGCGAGGTGCTGACAACACCAAGTCAAGGGTTAAGACCCCCTTACCGTTCATCTTTTAGAAAAAAAAAAGTGTTCAATTACAAATTCACTGAAGAGAAAACAGTAAAACCAAGTAGACAACCTGATGGATCCTGCGTTGGTCTTATAATTTGTGTTCCATTTTCCATACACAAGAAATTGTTTGAGGACAAGTTGCCTGAAATTGAAACTGTAGATTCATATTCGTATCTGTATGAACGCAGAGAAAACACGTCTATGTTAAGGAACTGATGAGGACAATGTGGGCATTATGCGGATTATTATCTCCTGCTTCACGACACCCAAACCCAGTAAAAACGTCTTTTCATTTTGCCACTCTAAACATCACAAGTTAATATCATCAAAAAGAACTTGCAGCTCACTGGAAATGTGCAATCCCTTTATAATTAGCTTTCAATTATCTGCATGTGGATTATCTAATCTATCTTCAGCCTTCTGCTATTTTTAGGTGATCTTTTCCTGGAAATAATTACTGTGGGATAAGGAACAAAAACTCAGAAAAATAAGAGAGAATTAATAAAGTATAATTAAGAAGATAAAGGCTTTTGGGGAAATAACAACAGAACAAAACAAATCTTCAACTTTGGATTTTCTGAGGTTTGCTCCTAAGAAGCAGAATCTCCACTTTCTGAGAATCCAAACAATAATTCCTCTGTGGGTTTCATTAACTCCTAAGAAAAACAAAACATTTTCCCATTGTAATGAGAATCCTTGAGAGAATCTCAATCACTGTGACAACATAATGTAATGACTTTTTCTCTTCTCATAAGAACAAAAGACCATGACATTTAACTGCGGCAAATTACCACAAGTCCACTTGTCTTTCTCAGAAAGTAAATTACATGCTGCAAGAATGAAGGAAAACATGTCCAAGCTGTCTCTCTTTGTTAGAAATTATGATGGATTGCTTTTTATATTCCTATTAGATAAGAGAAAGCCAAAAGAAAACTTGCCCTTCTGAATTCCACATGAGCTAAAGAGTGTTATGCTTGGATGCCACCAAGAGTCCTAATTTCTATTCAACAGGACATAATAAAAAGAGTCAAAATACCTTCCCCTAGAACAAAGGCCCAGTCATGCCCACAGAGCTTGGCTCTGAACTGTGAACAAAAGCTTCTGTCTCCATACTCATGATCCCATGAGACATGGCAGCTTCAAAGAAATAACTTTGGTAGAAGGTGCAAAGAAGTGTAAATAATAGCTAAATATTACTTGACATTGTTTTGGATAGAATCAGAAATAGAAGGACAATAAAAACTCTTTTCCTAGAAGCATCTGATCCCTTTAAAAATACCTGAGAAGATAATATCTTCTGTTCATTTAATTTATCCACTTAAAAACCAATAAGTCATTCAAAGTCCATCCATTCCCATAATACCAACAAAATTACAATACATGGATTTTAAAACAGAAAAGGAAAAGGCATAATTCCACAATGATAAAGAGAATGGGAAATTTGACAATGAGGAAGAGTAACAAGATTTTGGAAGCGGGAAAGGAGATAAGTAAATGGTCACTAAATCAGAAGACATGAGAAATGTAACCATGAGTGTCTGCAGGGGAGCATCCAGCGTACGCCACACACTCCTGGGAAGTTTCAGGCAAGACGCTTATAAATTTAATCACTTTGGTTTAAAGTGTATATAAGGAACAGTCAGGCTCCCAGAGACATCCTCTGCCACTCCTACTGAAAATGCCCATTGACTCAAGTGTGAACAGGCACATTGAAGATATGAAAGCCATACTAAAAACTGGGGTATTAAGTGAAAAAAAAAATACACACACACACATACACTAAGAAGTGACATTCCCACTCCTACCTGGCTTCTACCTCCCGAGCAACAGATGAGAGAATCCCTGCCTAGGATAACTAAGAGGTTATGCACAGTTTGAGGTCATCTGTAAAACAGCCAGTCCCTGTGCAATTATCCTCAAAGAAGGCCTCCAATAACTAAGTCCTACACATGTATTCAGAACTCCCAGTTAGCCTGTTGTTGTAGCTGTTACTCCTGTCTCTTAAATATGGATAGGTAATCAAGGACCACCAGGTATATGGGAGGGAAGCCCGTAAGAGTAAAGACAGATAAACAAATAACAAACTGTACACTTGGAAGAGCAAGAGGCGGCGAAGACAGATGAGAAAAATTTAGATGGGAAAAGACATTGCATTCTTGAGAGAATAACAAAATGTCCCTTAAAATGAGATATTCAAAGAATAAGAGACTGGAAATTTAAAATATGATAGCATAAGTTAGAAAGCCATTCAAAGGTTTGGAAGATAAAGTTAAATCTCGCGGAAAGTAACAGGGAGACAAGAAGATAGAAAATTACAGAAAAAGGATGAGAAAAACATAAGCTAATCTAGGATGTCCAATATTCAAGTAGTAGAAGTTTCAAAAAGGGGGAAATAGAGGAAATAGAGGGGAAAGAAAAGGGGGGAGGGTTGATGTTATCAAGGAAATAACATAAGTAACTTTTTCCAAAAGTTCCAAATAGAGGAAAAGAATTTATGCCAAGGCAATTATTATGAATTTCAAATTTTGGAGCTTAAAAGAAAACTCTATTTGCTCTCAGAGAAAATAAACTTGTCACAGCAATTACAATGACATAGGATTCTCAATAATAACACTGGATGCTAGAAAACATTGGAACAATGTCTTAGAAATCCTTAAACAAAATATTTTTAACTTAGAATTTTATTCTAGCCAAACTAGCAATCACGTGTGGGAGTGGAATAAGAATATTTTCAAATACATGAGGTCTTACATTTCATATTTCCTTTGCACACTTTCTCAGAAAAGTTTTAGATTATTTTCTCCACAAAAAAGAGTGAGAGTAAGAATTAAAGTAGCAGACATGATACCTAGGATAACCGAATGCAGGAAAGAAGTAAAGCAAATTCCCAAGGATAATAATGAGGAAAAGTCCTAAGAAAACAGCAATGCAGCTGGCCTAGAGAGTCCCCAGTTCAGATGACAGATGGAGAATTGAAGGTGATAGGAGAGGTATCTCCAAGACAAAATGAAACCCTCTGATAATGCATGAATATATTGAGAGGACTTTACTCTACCAGTGGAGAATGTGGAAAATACAAAGAAAGACAATCAAGTTTAAAAAATAAGGCAATTATTAAACACAGGGAAAATAAAAAGTTACGTAAGAAATAAATGATAACAGCATGGTTCAGTGGTGAGAAATATTTACATAGTCATACACACTTAAATAGTGAATATGATTTCATAGTAGGAATTCAATATGTATTACATAACACTAAAGTACTGAAAACTAATGGGATAAATATTTGCTTAGAAATATGGAGGTGAATATATGAAAAAGCTAAAAGAGTTACACGTGGTTGCCTCTGGAAAGCAGTAATAAGGGACAGGGAACAACACGTTTTCAACTTTGCACATAAATTACTTTGGTAAAAATTAAAATAAAAAATCAGCCTTCATGCTGGTCTGTCTCTTGGTGACCTACAATTAAACAGAACCTCACTGTAATTAGAAGTATCTAAATAGCCCCAGGAAGGGAGTAATCCAAAATTTTGGCAGGTCCTAAGAGTCTTTTTATCAGACTCAACACCATGAAAGAGGTGTCCCAAAAGCCTATTTCATAAATTGACAAAATGTGGCTACGTAAGTGTAAGAGAGGCAACCAAGAGCACAAAACAGACTGGTGGAACAGAATCCACATCTTCCAGTACCCCTGACAGTGATCTATGCTTTTAGAAAGCATTGCTCCTAGAAAGGAAAGTCCAAGTCTCATTTCCTGCAGGTGAAAGTTGAACCAAAAAGACCATCAAAGACTGGAATACTCACCGGTTCATGAGGAAATGAGGTAAGGCTTGTAAGAAACACCCTAAGCCCATAACCACACATCCGACACCAATTATTACAGGTCTATGCAGCTTGGTTCCAAAATAACTCACAAATATAATCAACACAAGATTTCCTAGGAAAAAATTAAGAATACTCATCTCAGTAAATTTGAACATAACAGCCTCACGCAAGCATTTGCACTCTAGCATTTACTGTATAACAACATTCACAAGTACTGGGATTGGTGCTGGAGATGCCCGAAACAATCAAATAAGACACAAGCCTGCCCCAAAGGAGAGCCATGTAGACAGATACATAAAGAGGTCTGTAAATTAGTGCTAGATCTTATTTGTGTTGATAAAAAGCACAAATATTATTATATGACAAGTTGTTTTAATATTGTGATAATTCTATTTCAATTTAATTGGCTTCCTTTGTACCCATGTAGTTTTTATGTTATGCAATTAAAAATATTATTCTGTGATAATATGGCATCAGATTGCTAAAGCGGTCTTGGCACAGAAAGATTAGTAACCCCTTCCAATCCTTGTTGACTCGCCCTCACCTAGAAGATAAAAGTAAACTCCGTAGCAAGAACACAAGGCTCTCCACAGCCCATTTCTCACCCCTGCCCATTTCTCCAGGCTCATATCATAGTAATTTCCACCAGCCAATAATATTGGGCTGAATGTTGTTCCCCACACAAGCTACCACGCTGCCTCACCCTTACGCTGCTTCTTCTATTGGAATTCCCTCCACACTTGACCAACCCCAGTTCTTTACCTGGAAAACTTTTACTTATCTTTCAAGAGCCTGTCTTCCCTAAGTGAGGTTGTGTCCCTTCTGCTCTTGCGGTACCTTGTTCATATCTATGTTACCACAGCTACTTCATTTAATTAAAAATCATTATTTTGCATCTATGCTCTCCAATAAACTGTGAGTGGAGATTATGCAAGGACCATGTGAGTTGGTTCTAATTCCATCATCAGGCTCTAGCACACAGGTGGTACAGAGTAAGAACTGAGGGACTTGAATGCTAGGGGCAAGGTCCAGCCTTACCTGTTACGGTTTTGCCTTCCCTCAACCCTTATGTTTCTTTCAGATATTGGTTAAATATACAGAAACAATTTTTACCTTGAAGAAAGTAGAGCTATTGTAAAATTAGAAATATATATTTCTTTGTACCTTTGTTCATAGAAGAAATCTTTCTCTCCCTCATCCCCTCTCTCTGTCCTCACATATTCTCAACCATCCACAAAAATCAGAACGTAAGAGTAGATTTTATTTTTCCCCAGAGGCTGTTTCTGAAATAAATTCAGAGACATGTGAGAGCAGATTCTTATTCCCTCTGCCTCCAAGACACAACAGAAGAAAAATATTTGCTTGTTCCTTTGGTCTCCCATGATATCTTCCAAAAACAAAGATAGAGCCCTTAGTTTCCCTTAAGGTTATCAAATGATAGATTTAAATATAAACACTCTAAATACTCTGCTACCCATGCCAGATAACCAAGAAACTATTAGAATAAAAAGGATGGCAGTGGAATATGTGGCAGTATTTAGGCGTTATTATGAAGTAATATTCAAATAAATTGTTTCTAATCATATTCCCAGGTTAGCCAGGCTTTTCAATCAACTTTAGGAAAGGTGTAACTCTGATTAAATGGCATAGAGCAGCAAATAAGGACAATAAAATTCAGAATAGCTTCATGCCAGATAACCAAGAAACTATTAGAATAAAAAGGACGGCAGTGGAATATGTGGCAGTATTTAGGCGTTATTATGAAGTAATATTCAAATAAATTGTTTCTAAGCATATTCCCAGGTTAGCCAGGCTTTTCAATCAACTTTAGGAGAGGTGTAACTCTGATTAAATGGCATAGAGCAGCAAATAAGGACAATAAAATTCAGAATAGCTTCATAGATTAAACAAAATATAAGAAGTAATGCAAAAAAATATTCATTACCAATCTCAAAGCTCCCATTAATGAATCCAACTAGAGATGTTGGGAGGTTGAATTGTCTCTCTATTTGTGTGAGCATGGAGTTCGTATAAGCTCCAGATAGTACTTTGGATACAAATGCACATGTTAAGGCCAACAGAAATATCTAGGAAGAAAAAAATATAAGAAAACATATGAAAATTTTGTTTTTAAACTGTATATTTGCCATTTGAAGATAAAATATCTTCTACCACAAGACCAAGTTTCTCCAACCTTAAGTGACCCTTGAACTTGCAAGAAATTTTAAAATGTGGTCTGTTCTCATCTGTCATGCCATGTTTTCTCTCTGAAAACTCAAAGTGCGACTAATTGATCAGTGATATTGAATTTTGTAGGTAGTTGTTATTTTATAGGTATGCTTTGTACATACATAGAAACAGTCATTCTACGTAAGACATAGCTGATGATTCAGATAGGTCTTCAGCACTATAAGGCTACCTGTAGTACCTAAGAATATGTACACTTTAATGAAAAGAAGGAACGCAGAAGAATTACACAAAGACATTGTTTCTGTAGCAAATTTGTTTAAGTTCTCTCTGCAGGAGAAGTTCCCAGATGACCTTGGCCAACCCAGCTCTTCCCCCTCTTACTTGCAATTCTTGGGCAGAATATATGGAGGGTACAACATCCTGCCTTCTCAGAAATGAAGGAAATGTTTGAAACAATCTGATCTATGTCCTTATTCTTCCCAGAATAGGACGTTCTACAACACTTGAGGTTAGGGATCTCAGTGGTGCCAGGATATATAAACCCAGGGCAAAGCACTTTCAGGGTCCTTCAGCTAAGGGGAGCCTGTGTGTGGGACTTCATCTTCTCTGGGCAGCTTTTCCTGAACCTTCGGGGACTGGCTTGCCATGGATCCTGGGCTTCTGTTTATTCTTGCTGCCTACCTGTGTGTAATAAGTTTGCTTGGCCTGACATAAATAAGTATAAGTGTTCTGTCTTGCTGGACTCATACTCAAGCAGATGACTTTGTGCAAAACCTCCTGCCAGACCTAGGAAATTTTGTACTATCTTATCCAAAGTAATATGCAAATTATACCATATTAAGACGCCACTACTGCCATAAATTTATTTAAAGTAATATTTTAATTATAAACCGTTAGAAAAAATGTTTCTAAATGGGACAGATACCTGCTGTGATAAACTAATATGCATACTACAAATTTCTGGATGTTGAATCAATCACATTTCCTATGTATTGATATAATTCCAGAAAGCAGTGAAGTTGATGTGATTCATAACAACATCAAAGGCAACTTAACAAATAGAACCATTGCGATTGCCAGGAGCTAGTGCAGTTTTACTAAGAATGTGAACAGTTAAAATTCTGATAGTTTTATTAAATCAGAAATAAAAAGACATCTTTTAGTAAGGAATTTGAAAATAGGAGCACCCTGTCCTGGGTAATAGAACGGTGAGGTAGATTAATTACTGCTTCAAAATCAACAAAATAGGTATAGATTTATGTCAGCCTGAATGGTGATCTCCAACCGTATGCCATAGGGCTTTTTTTTTTTTTTTTTGTCTTTTTT